CGTCACTGCCATCTTTGCCTCCTTCCTAGCTACCTTATATCTCGCAATGTTCGCTCTCTTCTCCTCCTCTCCAGTGCTCCCCACTAACCGCAGGTAAGCCACCTTCTTCGCTTCCACTTTACCTTGTACAACTGCATTCCACCACCAGTCTCCTTTGTGACCACAAGTGCGGCCTGAAGATACCCCTAACACCTCTCTTGCCGCCTTCCTTATATAGTCCGCCGTCGTCGACCACATAGTGTTTGCGTCCCCACTACTTCTCCAAGCTCCCATTGCCGACAACCTTCCTTCCAACTCCTGGGCTTTAACCTTAGTCAAGGCGTCCCACCTAATCCTCGGGCGGCCTCGTACCGACCTCTGTTTCCTTCTTATCCTAATACTAACGTCCATCACCAAGAGCCTATGTTGCGTTGCAAGGGTATCACCTGGGATAACTTTGCAATCCTCGCACAACCTTCTATCGCCTCTCCTGATGAGGAGATAGTCAATTTGAGTCTTCGCCACCAAACTTTGGTAAGTAACCAAATGCTCCTCTCGCTTCGGAAAACTCGAGTTTGCAATCACTAGATCGAATGCCTTGGCAAAATCCAGCAATGAGATGCCCCCTCCATTCCGTTCCCAAAACCAAAGCCGCCATGCACCTCAGTATACGCACCTGCAGACGACCCAATATGGCCATTGAAATCCCCTCCTATGAATAGCCTCTCGGAAGGCGGAATACTACGAACAATGTCATCCAACCCTTCCCAAAAACGCCTTTTAATCTCCTCCTCACAACCTACTTGCGGTGCGTACGCGCTAACGACGTTTAAAGTACACTCACCCACCACCAATTTAATAGTCATTAGTCTATCATTCACACGCCTGACCTCTACCACCGACTCCCTAAGACGGATATCTACTAGGATACCCACTCCATTCTTAAAATTATGGAAAAAATAATAAAAATCTTGGACATGCTTATATATGCATATATATGCTATTTTAAAAGTATTTTGCATATTGAAAATATATAAGGAAATATTGGGTATCAACAGAGAGTTGCAACATTTCAGAGGGAGATGGAACGATTTGAAGTGAAAAGATGTGATAGTGGAGTCTGAAAAGGTCGATGACATGGCAGTTGATATTTGTACCTTTTCAAGATATGTATTAAATAAAGCATAGAAATACTAACCTTTGGTACAAGAACCAGGTTCTTGACTTGTCTTTGAAAATTTCAATCCTTTTTTATTAGCCATGCAATGCATCTACAGCTTTTATAATCATCATCTGTGTTTACCTGCAACGATATTGAAGTGAGTTAGACTTGGCCAGAAAAAACTATAGCTAATTTTACCTGAAGGTGATTTTCATAGCCAACTGATGGGAATCAGGTTCTCAATTGGGCTTCAATAGCCCCAGTTTCACCCTATTTCTTTCAAAGTGTTCCCTACTCAATGTTTTGGTGAAGATATTTACAATTTGGTCTTCTGTACTGCAGAACTTCATATAGATCAGCCCTTTCTCCATATTGTCCCTAAGAAAATGATGTCTCACATCAATGTTCTTGGTTCTTTTGTGTTGAACTGGATTCTTAGCCATATTGAGTGCACTGGTGTTATCACATAGAAGAGGCACACAATCAATAAATACTCCAAAATCCTCTAGTTGTTGTTTAATCCATAGGATTTGAGCACAGCAGGAGGCTGCCACTACATATTATGCTTCAGCTATTGAAAGAGCCACTGAGTTTTGCTTCCTTGTTCCCCAAGAGATGAGACATGATCCTAGAAAGTGAGCCATTCTAGAAGTATTTTTCCCGTCCACAAGATAACCTGCATAATCAGCATCAGCATACCCAATAAGATTAAAACTGTCACCTAACGGGTAATACAGGACCAAGTCCTGTGTTCCCTTAAGGTATTTCAAAATTCTTTTGGCAGCCTTTAGATGAGATTCCGTGAGATTTGATTTAAATCTTTCACATAGCCCCACACTGAAGACAATATCGGGTCTATTGGCAGTGAGGTAGAGAAGAGACCCAATAATGTCTCTATACATAGTTTGATTCACAGGAGATCCAGTTCCATCCATGTCTAGTCGAGTAGCCGTAGCAATGGGAGTGTCTATCACCTTTGATGCTTCCATATCAAACCTCTTCAAAAGCTCTTTGATGTATTTCTACTAACAAATGAATGCACCCTTCATGGACTGCTTTACTGTCTCAGAAGGCTTGGATGCTTGATGTGAATTCTTAAGTGTTCAAGTGATGTTTTGTTGTAATACTCGTGTTAATACACCATTGGTGACATCACTTGAATGATGTTAGCACTTGATTGGTCAAAGGACAAGTGACTGCAAAACTACTACACTGTGTGTACACTATTTCTAAGGCAGTCACTTTCCAGCTGTGCACAGTAGACTTTCGTACTATTGTCAGGGAAACACAAGGGATCATGTCCCCATCTTGTTTCTCTATTTTCTACACTGTAGCAGTTCACATTGGCTGGAGTTCTGGCTGGAATCCGTTCATTAGCAATGTGTACCAAGTGTGTCAGGTTCCCTATCTAGTTCTTGATAGTAAGTTTGTTAGATCATCACAATATAAGTCAAAGATATTGACAACCCATTAA